CATTGTATGAAAAGTTGGGTGGGCCCCAGAGCCGGACGCTGTGGAGAAGGGAAAAATCTTTCCCCCCCCCCCTCGAATAGAACCCCGGCCCTCTTGCCCGCCGACCGAGCCGTCCCGACATTCTTTTATGATGGCATGCACAAGCTTATCGACTACGTGTGAAGAGGACGGGGACTGTATAGGAAACTCATTCTTTTGTACATATTCATTTTAATTGTATTATTTAATGAAAAATTAACTGCGGATAGTTAATGACACGCCTTTGTGGGCGCCCGTGCGTGTATGCATAGCGAGAGATGTCACGGTGAGAAGAAAATATGAAATTACGCAGTTTGAGGTCAACAGAGTAACGAATTGTCTGCCTTTTACGCCTTGCATGAATGTAAGTTAATGTAGGCCACGAACGAGTGCTTAGTTTCATTGTATCGTATTTTTTGTATTTGAAAATGTTTTGATGCTGGTGTATGGCCTGTAATCTAGGTAGATAAGTTGGAGCGGTTACGATTGACTGTTTTGTGTGAGGGATGGCGTTAAATGTCGTTCACTTCGTCTCCTCGCAACATTGAATAGGATTTGGAAGTAATACGAGAGAAAGCAAGGGAGATTAGTAGCAAGAAAGCGGGTATGACAGGTAACGAGTCTTCCTTTAAACTCCCAACTGATGTTAGATCATTTTCTGTTAATTTCACGAAACAAAAGTAACTCCGTGGATTTAGTCCGCAAGCGAACTATACCGACCGAGCGACCGCCGCGTTTACGTTCATCACAACCAGCAGCGGTAAGAGAATGCTGGTTTTGAATGTTAGGGAGGCACAGTGGGCGCAAAATATAGTATACCGGCTGTATGCAAAAGAGAGATGTTTGCAATGCAGCGTGCGTAAACATTGCTCCTAGTGGAGGAGAAAACACGTGTATCTCGACTTTGACTAGTACAAACCAGTGTATGCACGTCTTGCTGCACCGAACACCAGATGTACCGATATTTTTCATGTGTTTTCTCAGTATCTCCAGGCAAATGCGATAGTGCCGCAGGTCGCGACCGGGTTCGTTCCATATCCCTCGCGTTTATCTTACCACCGTACGTGATTCACGTTCACGATCCTCATGGGATGTTAATTTTTATAGCTGGCGCTATCTTGGATTCGTTAGGTAGAAACGGCTTGATAATCAGATGACAGTTTGAGGCAAGAAAAAAGTTCTTCACTCTTGGCTAATTAATTAGGCGTACTGAGACAAGAGAGACTTCTCAGTGTAGCTCTTTCATATACACGCCTTCGCATACCTTTCCAAGAACGAAGTGTTACTGAACGCTTCTCCCCACGCCGTTGTTTTAGTGACTGCGTATGACACGCACATCGCACGTTACTTATGGCGAAATAATGGCGATATTTCCCCAAGTATCTTAAGCACTGCTAGCTGATCAGGCAAATAACCCGAATATACTCGTTAACACTTGTGTCTGTCGTATTTACCAGGTGTACCAGTCGGTGAGACGGCATTCTCATCTGTTAACATAGGATTGTGGTTACCACTTTCAACCCGCATTTGTGTACATGCAGACGAGACCTTGTGTAATCTCTTGCCAAATGTGTATAATTGGAATCACATGTAACCAAATAACTGCATGGTACAGAGGCCGTCTTAGGAATCTGTTAGTCGCTCAGCTGATCATTGTATTCCCCACATTTTGTAGAAACCGAACAGTAATTACAGGGGAGCCGGTTTAGCGAAGTCGGTATAGCGACTAGCTGTGAGCTGGACGACCGAGGGGTCGGAGTTCGAGTCCCGGTATGATGAATTTTCTCCACGTCGTCCAGACCGGCTGTGGAGCCCACCAAGCTTCCTATCCAATGGGTACCCGGGGCGTGAAGCTAACCACTCACCTCCAGTTAGTGCCAGGTCAAAAAAATGTGAATCTGTACTTTCACTCCCCCATACGCCTTCATGGCGTAGTGCTTAATTAACTACAGGGACAACTTTACACCTTTTTATTGATGTTACCGTATTTGAACAGTCCGTCACTGGAACATGGCCGGGGCCTGCTGAACCCACTCCACAACATCAAACACAGTTTCGTCATGATCCACTTTGATATTATCCCCCCATCGGCGACTGAATGTACCAAATTGTATCTTGTGAGTTGCCACCCCTCAGATAGACGCCATCTATTCTAAGTGGGGTTTGCCGAGTTGTTAATAAGTACATAAAATGCAGTAAAATTTAATAAAGGTGCCTTCGAAAGATGTAGCTGCAACTGGCGAAACTTTTCGCGAATTTGTGTCATGGCTGTAGAGGAGCATTTTATAGATTACTGTAGGTATAGATAGGTTGTAAAGCTTTTTGCTGTTATCGTGCAGCCTGATAGAGACCAGCAAAAATTTGCAGAATTCCACTTTTCATGACGGTACAGGATTATTTTACAGTTTATTGTAGATGTACAGTGGGTTTGAAGCTGTTTATACTCTGCTGTTACCGTACAGTCTGATAGGGACCTGCAACAGTGTGCAGAACCTCTTTTCGTGACTATACAGGAACGTTTTATAGCTTACTGTAGGTGTAGAGAGATTGTGAAGCTGTTTAGGATCCTGCTGTTACTGTACGGTCTGATACGGAGCTGCATTGACGAATATATTATAGGGAACGGGGAATCTCGATATTACAAAATTTTAGAACCCCAGCCTGTAATTTTCCCGAGTACAATGTAGTACGCAACAGTACAGTCAGCTACAATTGTTATAAGTCCACACATTACCAAAATGTGACAGAAACGCTCATTTAACTTTAGCGACAAACGCATAGCGTGCCCCAAAGTCCGTGGCTGAGCAGAGCCATAGTAGCAATATCGATTAACTCCGTACGTTTCTGCCAACTTACATAAACGTACACCGGCGAGTTTAATATGACGTTTGATAACAGACCAGATCTAAATTCACTGTAATAGTAGAATGCGGGCAGTGCTAACTTCGATCATATCGGTGCTGTGGTTAGCACCCTTGCTTCATATGCTAGAGGTCGTGGGTTCAAATCTGGGCCCTGAGGCCGCCAACCCAGACCGAGGTTTTTTTTTTCGTTTTTCCCAGTCCCTCTATGCAAATTTCGGTGCGGTACTCAAGTCCTGGCCGCAACCGATTCCTTGCATATCCTTAGAACGAATTATTTCATCCGTCATTTATATCGTTCGACGTTCGGTTGCACTGCATGTCTTAACACATTTTGGGGTGCGTCCTACCTTGAGTAGGCAGCCTTAAGGGGGGGAAAGGTTTATGTTTAAATGAGGTCTCTTGGTATGGCTATTTTTGTACCCAAAATATGTTGAAAATAGAATTTTGTAACTTTCTGGTGATGACGTAACGACATACGTCACTATCGGAAAATGGTGCACCTTGAAAGAAGTTCACAGCTTACTGACAGCGTAGTTGTAAGGTTAAAGAAAAAGTAAAGCTATCCCTGTAACAGGCCGTGGAGGCCCATAGGGTTGTGAGACGTCGAGGCTCCCACGTTTTCTAGAAAGTCGGCTCACAGATGGCGATGAGGTCAGCCTTACGCGCCAGCCGCCCTTTACCGCCAGAAGGATTCCTCGTACTCATTTCTGTGAGAGGCAGAGTCGACCCCAGGGCCATAGTGCGGCTGGAAGGATTGCATCAAAAGCAAGCGTACAAAGAAAGTACTTAGTGTTTTAATTTTTCTGTGGCTGTCATACACCTTCCACTGAGGTTAATTTAATTAACACACGCCTTAATGTATCTACTGATCTGTGCGCCGGCGCACTAGATATGTTATTGCCAATCTGCCAGACTACACGTCATGGTATTCGAGATGACAGTCACCCCTATGGGAACCCGAACTCTCTTGTATTCCATACTTTATTCATGGGATCGCGTCTTTAAATTATTTCTTCATTGTTAGGGCAGGATTAGGGTTGGTATATAGAGTTTGTAGTTACAGACGGGTTGAAGTTGTAACATATACGCTTTTACAGGCATTGTTACCAAGAGCCGTGGTTTCGACTTCACGCTTTCCAGTTTCCATTAAATGTGTAGTGAAATGCGTGTTACACTTTACCCGCAATAAATTGATATCGGCTCTCTGAAAGTGAATGGACCTTGGCTCGCGGACACATGCAGAGAAGATGACTGCGTTGTGTTTCGACAAACTACATGCCTTTGCGCATTAGGAACTGGTAAGAAGCACGAGAGGGGAATGGAGGTATAGCTCCACCATTCTTGATCTTAGCGCTAGATGGAGGTGAGTGGTCAGCTTCACGTCCTAACAGCTTTACCCCCTGGGAAAGAGCTCGCGGAACCCAATGGACAGAAAGCTGGAATGCCCCAGAATCCGTTTGGATGACGCGGAATAGAGAAAAATCGCTTGTACCTACCGGGAATTGGAGCCCGGCCTTCCGGACCGTAGCCAATCGCTATGCCGACTGAGCTATCCCTTCGGCACCGCGGAGGGGGGATTGAATAGTAACAGCCATGTGGGATGGCTAAAGCAGGAGTTGGCGCATTGCGTGCCGCCGGATTCTTGCTGGTTGTCTACTGAAACTCATGTGAACAACTCGCGGACTACGTCGTGTCACATCTCGGACCATAGTACCTTTCTGTTGTAATTTTACTCTTGAAAGTAGAGTAATGTTCATTTCATACCTCTCGATTTCTCGACACAGCCGACAGTTTAGTGAGTAGCTGGACTCGAAGGCATAAAAGCTTCACAGACTTGAGTAGTGTGTATTGTGAAGAGTTCTGTCGAACGTAACTCTTCATAGTTACCGTTGTGAGAACCAGAACTCCAGATGTAGTATCATTTATCGGGATGCGTGAAATACGTCTGTCTTGTAGTAGTAATTTTAAGTCCTGTAGTCTTGCTAGTTTGCGTTAGCGTGTTGAGGCATTTGCTGTAAGGTTGGTACTAGTGGTTTTAGTTGTGCGTGTGTTGGCTGTTGATGGGAGGGGTCCTCCGTGCGCCTCGTGGGCGATCGATCCCTGCAAGTAGGAGCTCGGTTGGTTCTCACTTTCCTTCCCCGGGAGTGTAGTGTCCTGTTGGCGCATTACTGCAACACACTGACCTTTGTCACTTCGTCGGAAGTGGGAACAATTGTTTGCTTTTCTAATGTAGAATGTTTTAAAGCTTGAGACACATTCGTTTTTTTCAGTGAGGTGCTATTGTAATGTGTTAAGGAAGTGCTGATTTTTGTGATAGAAGATTGATACGCGCTTCTGCCTGCAGAGGAGCTCAAGAGACTTGGGTGCGTAGTTGCTATGATTACAGGTTGACCATACTTGTGCAGTTTTTTTTTTTCCAATCAGATGCGATTTGAAGTAATCGAAGTGCAATATATATTTTCGTATCAGTTCGTCACGATAATTTTTATTTCTGTACGTGATAATGCCCAGTCGTGTTGTTCGAGTGCTAGAGAATGAATTTCCAGGAAATTGACCAACGTGGTGAAACCGTTTATCGTCGGTGTGCGCTGCTGTTCACGTGATCACGCTCCAATTAACCACGAAGCCGCACCCATTACGTTGCTGTCTGTTTTTTTTTCATAGCAGCCCTTTAAGAAGAGATTATTTGTAATTTTCATCTACCATAAATGTGTTTAAAAATGTGTATGTTTACCGGTGCGTTAAGAAACGGGGAACGCATATCTGCTTTCGTCTGTAGTGCAGTATTATTAATCATTGGGTTGAAATATAATTTTCCATCTTATTTTTTGGTAAATATGTTGGGAATCAGTATTCCTTCGAACATGTTTTTCTGTAACAAGTGTGTTGGGCCTACTGCAGTTTGTTGCAGTCCAGTAATTTCATGTGTAAATGTAATGAATTCATGCTCGTGGCACTGTATATTTTGTTATTGAAGCCGAATAGCTAGAAGTGTATTTTTAAATGATGGCGATTTTAATATTGTTTTTTCGTTAAATTTCAATAAAAATTCACATGCTGTACTCTGCTGCTACACAGGTCGTCTGTGAGTACACTGGTTTCCATGTGCATTGGGCAGACTTCCTACAGCAGTGTAGAAGGTGATGAGCCTATTAGAATGTGGTCTGCTCAGTTAGATTCCTTGCATTTTCCTAGCCCAGAGAGTTACAGGTTGACATTTTCCAAAAAAGTAATATAGGAATTAATTCTTATGCTCTCTGTCTGTTGGCAGTAAACCAAACACAAATCCCACCTCACACAAATGTCTGTGGACAAGGAAGAATTGGTTCAGAGGGCGAAGCTCGCCGAGCAGGCAGAACGTTATGATGACATGGCTGCTGCGATGAAAGCTGTCACAGAAACAGGAGTGGAACTTTCCAATGAGGAGAGGAATCTTTTGTCCGTGGCATACAAAAACGTTGTTGGTGCACGACGTTCCTCCTGGAGAGTTATCTCGTCAATTGAGCAAAAGACAGAAGGCTCAGAAAGAAAGCAACAAATGGCCAAAGAATACAGAGAAAAGGTGGAAAAAGAATTGAGAGAGATCTGTTACGATGTTTTGGTAAGTACACTAATTTTCCTATCTGACTTGATGTGCTTTATTCTGCTTTCTTTACCTTCTGTTAATTTAAAATGGGTTTGTTGGATCTCCCCCACTGTTCCCCCCTTTGTGGTACATAGTAATCATAGTGACAGGATTAATTGAAAGGTACATTGATATCTTGAAGTTTCTTGCTGTAGGAGACTTCAGTTTGGGGAACAATCAAATACAGTGGAAGGGGGGACAAGTAGATTATACTTGGGCACAGACAGAGCACAGTTTAAGTGAATATTGGTTTGTTCTGTGGGAGACTTCAGCTGATGGCCGTAATTTTGCTGCAAGATACCTTCATACTTTATGTAGGCAGCCCTATGAAAGAAAATTCTGGGTGCTGAATAATGCGATCTGTCAGATTGGCACCCAAGGGATCATTGTTTCCAAGTTACACAATTTAGCAGTGAACAGTATCAGTAATATTTGTATCTCATAATGTTGTTATGCACAGTCTTACAGAAAAAAAAAAAAGAAATCCAGGCACGGCGGTCATGGCATACCATAAGTTACTCATCGTCTTTTAATTAGCTTGTATAGAATCCTTGCCATATAATTTTTGTCACTTTAAATTAGGGTTTCATTCTGACCCCTCATTGTCATGTCATGACTTTGCAGTAGGCGATATTGCTTGAGACATGACTTCGCAGTTTACCAATTTTGTTTCCCAGCTTTCAAGTGCCCTTGTCCGGACCCTTCTCCTGATATTTCGAGGGACCCAGTTTATTGCCTCTTTGCATGCTGGATCCCTGCTTTCTTGCCATAATTTTCTGAGCTTTCGTTTATGTTTCAATATACGATCTAGGCCATGTATATCGTATTTCTGGTATAAAATTGTAGATTTATAGTCATTCGCCTGTATGACGAAGCTGTAGAGACAGCAAAGTCATGTGCTGCTTTATCAGCTTCATTAGAAAACTGAATTTCGATATTTTGAGGTGTGAATTCAGAGGCGAGGCTTTAAAGCAGCTCCAAGTCTGTCAGTTTTCAACTGGATCTAAAGCTTCCCTCATTCTAACAGGGTTTCGTAATGCTGAACGTAATTGGTAGGTGATATGAGCCCAGGATGTCAGTGAAAATGACCTGTGATAGTCGGACGTTCTGATGTAGTGCATTGTTGAGATCACCACCTCTCTCATCAGGTGTGTAATGCGTAGGGAATGGGAGAGCTGAAATTTCGAAGTTAGAAGCCTGAGGGGTATGAAATTTTCTATTCCAAGCAAGATGCTTTCCATTCAGGTCACCTACCAGGATGAACTTACTTCTAAAACCTAAGAGCTCTGTGATATGTCACCCATTCTTTGCGGAGATGCATAAACAGCTGCAAGGAATATTTGAGTGCAGACCCCTGTTGCTTATGCTGATAGGAGAGGAGGTAAGTTGATGCAAGTGTGAGGGATGCCTTAAGTGCAGCGGCGGTTCCGCCTGTGTGCCCGTCTTCACGGTCCGTCCGATAAATATCATAGTTTGGATTGTAAAACTTCACATGGGATTTCAGGTGTGTCTGAGAACAAGACCACGTCTGTTTTCAGCCTTGCAACTCACCTCTACAATGCCGCGTCTGTTTTTGTCTTAACACCTGTTTTCCGACCCCTTAAGCCTGCCTCCTAATTCCATTAGCCTTAAATGCTGTGATTTTTCAGAGGTCTATAAACTGTTGTTGGAAACGTATGATAGTCTAAACACAGCTCTAGTTATGACAGCGACCTGTCTAAATCTTGGCGCACTGTATATAGCCTTGGGGCGGACGCCATACAAAACACCGTTTCCAACAGTTCTCTATTGTGTCGTTACGTGTTCGTTGCCGCGGAAACGTTTATTGGCCGTTCCCTAGCGACGGCGGCGGCTCTTTTCTGGCAGCACTATTCCGATCTTCCGGCTGTCATGTCACGTTATTTTGATGCGCGTAAAGCAGGATAAAGGAAATTCTTTAAGATATACCCTTTGTGCGTGTTTGTATTGGAAGATGGCTGTAAGGGCCGCGCCATAGCTCAAGTGGTTAGTCGCTGGCTTCCAACCGCGGCGGCCCGGGTTCGATCCCGGGTCTTGTCAAGTGGGATATGTGGTGGACAGAGTGGCGCTGGGACTTCGGTTTCCCCTGCCAATCTTCATTCCACCAATTGCTCCACAATCACCCTCACCTATCATCTGGGGCTGGTACAATAGGCCAGAAGTGGCCGCAGTACAAGGGACTTAGTCCCACCCACCAGCAATAAAAAAAGTCGACCTTCACTCATCATTCGATAACGTAGAGTTGGAAGGAAATATAGGATAAAGCAGGGAAGATTATGATATAAAAGCTTATATAACAAATTAGATTAGGCGTTCTGTAGAATTCCCAACGACTGTTATACAAGGGAAGATTACCATACAAAAGCTTATGTAACAAATTAGACTAGACTTTCCGTTAAACTCTCAACGACTGTTACACCAATTCCATATAGAATGGTTTTTGTTGCTACAGCTACAAACGTAAAAATTACAATATCCAAAAGTATAATTTTACTTGTGGTTTTGTGTGGGTGTGAAATTAGTCTCTGATAGAAGGAACATAGGCTGAAGGTGTTTGAGAATAGGTTGCCGAGGAAATTATTTGGACTGAAGAGAGATGAGGTGACAGGAGGTTGGAAAAACTTGTATAGTGAGCAGCTTCATAACGTGTATTCCTCGCCAAGTATAATTAGAATGATGAGATCAAGGTGGCTGAGATGGACAGGGCATGTAGCACAAATGTTTGAGAAGAGTACACACGGGATTTTGGTGGGAAAGCTAGAAGGAAAGAAGCCACTAGGAAGTCGAAGATGTTTGTTGGTAGATAATATTAAAAAGGGTCTTAGGATAAGGGTGTGAGCCGGGATAGCTTAGTCGGTACAGCGACTGGCTGTGTACTGGCTCGACGACCGAGGGGTGAGCGTTCTAGTCCCGGTAGGGTCAAGAATTTTCTCCACGTCGTCCAGACCGGCTCTGGGGTTCACCCAACCTCCTGTACAATGGGTTCCGGGGGCTCTTTCGGGGGGGGGGGTAAACCCCATACGCCTTCACCGCGTAATGCTTAATTAGTTAAGCACAGGGACAACTTTACCTTAGGATAGGGTGGTAAGGACTGAATTTATCTGACTAAGGATAGGGACCAGTGGAGCGCTCTTGGGAACACGGTAATGAACCTTCGAGTTCCATAAAATGTTTTCATTCTTGAATAGCTGCACAGCTGGCGACTTCTGAAAAACGGTATTTCTCCATGGAGTCAGGTGTTGAAGGTTCGACTTCTATTAATATTAAGGAGTCCGACCTTGACAAGACGCGTTAGTACCCCTAGGAGTACTCGTACCACAGTTTTATAGACGTCTTAACTTCTGCGACAACACTGCATACAGCTCTGATGTCGGTTTTGTTAACAATTGCACCGCTCTTCGTCCCCTCGCCTCGCTACAACGTGCCGTCCACCGCCCAGGATACAAGACAAATACACGGAAATGGGAGGAGTGACTGTGTGACAAAACCTTATCATCCTGTCGACACTGAGAACAGTGCGTCCAAGTTTGAGGGTAACATGTTGCATGGTGCATCCTAACTGGATAGAACATCAGATTTTTTGCTTCGCACCGGTGCTGGCAGGCAGAAGCGTGTACCCATTTGTACAGTATGATCATACCCACATTGGTGTTGTGCATTTACTGCATTTGCAAGCCGCGGAAGTACAGTCGGTATAGCGACAAGGCTCTGGGGGTAACGCGGCATGGTCGTGAAGCTGACAGTTCATCTCCATTTAGTACCAAGGTTAAGACTGGTAGAGCTATACCTCTATGTGCGTAATGTTCAGCTAAGCACGGACAGCTTTACCGTTACAAATCCATAATCACACCATACATACCAAACTGCACGGAATAACGCTTATTTCGGTTGTGTTCGCTGTACAGCATAATACCTTTCAGTTATTGTGCTTTAAATAAACCTTCCCCGCTATGCGTCTTCCTATCTTGTAGTTTATTTGTGCCTCGTATAAAGTAGAGGTTATGTTGGCTAGCCCGGACCAAAATTAAATTAACTATATTTCAGAAGTGAAACATGGATGTGACACCATTATACATTTTCTCCTATTTTTATTTAATTCCCTGAGGACATCATATCAATTCTGTTTGTGTTAACTTTGTGTAGCCCCATTACCGACCTCCAGGCAGGCAGATCGCTTCTTGTCGATGGTTCGCGACTGTGCATTCAGTATATTCACAGTGGACAGAGGACACGTTACGTTAGGGTGGCAAGAGGCCTGCTTCACGTGGAGTGATGATACATGTTAATGTGAACACGGCGGTGAACCTTCGGGTTCTACAAAAGGCGGGAAATTTCCAGAGTTGCTGAGCGACTCAGCTATTTAAGGACTCTTGTGTCCATAGGGAGTGGGTTCATTCGTGGATACTGTAACGAAAGGAATACGCCCATAGTGGTTTGTGTTCGCAATGTGAGATTAAGATGCAAATCCACGTTACATATAATAACGGCGTGATTTGTGTTCAAATAACTGCCGGACTGACAGCAGAGTACGGGGACAGTGCCCGATGTTGTGAGGAGTGCCACTGCAGTGAGTTCGCTAGGTGGAGCAGCCGTTATGCGAACTTCAGCGTTGTGTGGGTGAGGGCGTCTGATTTCTCGTATGATTCTGCGCACTGATAAAAAAAGTCAGTGTGTTAGTGAACTTTGCTGTGAGGAATTGCAGTGTTCTTACAGCCTTAGCTTCTATTTCTTCTCTGGTCCGTCAGTCTAGCAAAAACGAGACTGAAATGGGTGTACTCCATGATATCGTAGGCATGCGCACTAGTCCCAACCACCTTCTTTGCAGTTTGTTAATATTACGTGGAGTTCTTTTATAAAATTTGGTCAGGAGTTTATGTGCAAAAAGTCCATTTTGGAACTTACATAAGTTCATATATTATACGAGTGACTATAGACGTGGGGCTGGATTGGTAATTGGA